CACACACACAAGTTTTGTCACTTGCCGTGGCAACGGCATCGTGACGACTGGATTCAGCCACGTTTGGAGGGCATTCGACGCAATCCTGTGGCTCCCATACACCCCCCAACTTCGAAGCCCATTCACTCATCCAGGCTTGCCCACCATGCCTCTACAATTCATGCAGGTCTCTCGCCCTATACAAGAGCGGCCGACGCGTGGCCGCCGCCCTTCGTCAGTCATGTGCTGGATACATGTAGTATTGAAAAGCATTGAAAAGCATGTTTGACTAACATCCGGTTAATATAAGTTTTTTTCCGGAGACGGCACGATTGGTCAATTTCCAAAACCATTGAACTCGACCAGGAAGGATGCTGCGAACAGCTTGGCGCGGGCTGCGGAAAGGCGCCGCGTCCATGGCGGAAACGCGGCACTGGACGGCCTGGGGGACAAGTGCATTGTTCTCGACGGCAGAAGTGCCGACGGACATCGCAAAGATCCGAAACATTGGGATTCTTGCGCACATAGACGCGGGAAAGACCACGACCACGGAGCGCATGCTGTTCTATTCGGGTACGACAACTCAGCCAACTAAACGTGGGTACGACGCCGTCGTAGGTGCAATCCATCGCATGGGTGAAGTGCACGACGGCGACACAACGATGGACTTCATGCCGCAGGAGCGGGAACGCGGCATCACAATCGGGTCGGCTGCGATCTCGTTTTCATGGAACGACCACCACATCAACTTGATCGACACACCCGGCCACGTCGACTTTACGATCGAAGTTGAACGTGCCGTACGTGTGCTCGATGGGGCGGTAGCAGTGTTTGACGGCGTCGCTGGTGTCGAAGGTAAGCAGCATGCTCGAGTCAGCGAGTTCAATGGGATGTCGGGTCCATGTGATCGACTGAAGCGTATTCTTGTAGCGCAAACTGAAACAGTGTGGGAGCAAGCTGATCGGTACAAGGTTCGTCCGTGGAGGTGCCTCAGGAATCCATACCTACCTACCCGTCACGACAGGTTCCCCGCATCGCGTTTGTAAACAAGTTGGACCGTGAAGGCGCGTCGTTCGATCGAACCTTGGGCATGATAGAGTCTCGGTACCGCCATTCGGCTTTGAATTTCCAAAACTTGACTGCGATCGTGCTTAGATTCAACGTAACGGTGCTGCCTGTTCAGCTCCCCATGGGGGAGAATGCCGACTTCCATGGGGTTGTCGACTTGGTGACCATGGAAATGCTGACGTGGAGTGACCCTGAGGGCCAAGTCATTCGACGGTACGATCATGTTGAGTCTGCCGACTTAAGTAGATTGGAAAATCGTGGCATGCTGGATAGGCTACCGCTGGTCCCTGGTGCTTCGAATGAAGCGATGCAGCAGCTTTACACCAAGGCTTTGAATGCACGCCAAAGGTAACTCATATTTTATGTCGATCGGCTTACGTTGTGATTATTGGGTGGCTGTAGTTTGATTGAAAAAGCATCAGATTTCGATGAAACACTGGCCGACCTATTCTTGTGTGAAGAGCCCATTGATGCCACGATGTTGCAAGCGGCGCTGCGACGTATTACGGTGGCGAAGCCTGACGATCACCCGAACGCTGTAGTTGCGCTGTGTGGAAGGTACATCTTGGGGATTTTTGAACCCGACGTCAGCAGCTCATCGAAATGGTCAGCGCATTGAAAAACAAAGGAGTCCAGCCCCTCTTGGACGCCATCGTCAACTACCTCCCATCCCCATCTGACCCGAGCAGTTCTCCGTTTGAGGCGTCTGAGGTCCTCAAGGACAAGTCTCTTCGCCCCGTGCAGATGGACGCGACAGCGTCAGGGCCATTATGTGTCCTGGCCTTTAAGGTACACCCCATGCCATAAAAATTGAGATGTGTGAAGCTCATGGCGTCTTCAAGGTGAAACATGATCGCCAACGTGGCCCCATTGTGTTTTTTCGGGTGTATTCGGGCACATTGCACGCCAAAGCGCAGCTCTACAACACGACCAGGTTCGGCGTAGCACCATTCACGCTTCCCAAAGCATATTCTCACGTCATTCGATTCTCCTCACGCCGCAGAAACGTCAAGGAACGGCTCACGAGGCTCATGTTGGTTGCAGCAGACGATGCCGATGAAGTGGACGAAATCAAGGCCGGCAACATTGGCGCGGCGGTCGGTCTCAAGAACACGTACGTACAAACGGCAGAGAATGCAAATACCACGTCTGCGTAGGTATACCGGCGACACGTTGGTAGCTGGAAATGCTGTGGTCAAGACTCTGTTGCCAGGTGTCGAAATCCCAGCCCCGGTAACAACATGATCCGAACTGCGAGCGTGGAGTCGTCCCTGACCGGATTTGAAAGGTTTTCACGTGCTCGATTGAATCGGATTCACTGAGCCGCCAGAAGGAACTAGACGAAGCATTGGGTCATTTGCAGCGAGAGGATCCCAGCTTTGTCGTGATGCAGGACGAAGAAACGGGACAGACTTTGATGAGTGGCATGGGCGAATTGCATCTCGAGATTCTGCAAGATCGATTGAAAACAGAGTACAAACTCGATCCGTCGATTGGCAAGATGCGAGTGGCATACCGCGAGACGATTGCGTCGCCGTTTGAGGTACACTGGCGGGAAATTTGAGTTCGCGACCCAAACGCCGTTTTGATGCCGACGCCATTTTCAGCGACATTTCTCAATCGATCGCTGTGGGGTGTGTTTTTTAGCACGTGTATACGTACGACACGATGCTCGGCACGGATCGTCAGTATGCCAAGGTAGCAATGCGAATCATCCCTCGTGATATCGAAACCTCCAAGGACGACGGCGTGAACCGGATTCGATGGACCAAGCCAGAAACGAAAACGACCGGCAGTTCGTTTCCATTTGGATTCGTTCAGGCCATCGAGGAGGGGCTCCAGGTATGCACCCGACCATTGTCTATTTTGTGAGCTGGTTGCACATGGAATGTGAATGAATTCGTGATCGAGTCAACTCGCCTCGTTGGTCTCCATGGCGGACTTGTGCTTGGTGCACGACAGTGAAATCCAAACCTCCTTGGAATCTTGGCATCAGGATGACTTTTCCAGACAACAAGGTCGTTGGCCTTGTGGTTCAAACTGAATGGTGTGCAAAAGTTGCGAACACGCCGCCTTGGACCCTCCACGTGAACCATAACATCGCCTTGTGTAACCACGGTAGAGCGCACTGGGCCGTGGACAGACTGGCCATCGCCTTGCCTATTTGGACATTGAACTGGATGCCGCGTCATGTGCGTTTGACTCGGATTCGTCGGCCAACTCGTTTCGAGCTGCAGCCGCACTGAGTCTGCGTGAGGCACTCGAAGAAGCTGGGACTGTCCAACTGGAGCCAGTCATGCTGCTCCACGTCCGAAGTCCCGATCGTTGTGTTGGGGACATCTTGTCGGATCTGAATTCTCAACGTCGCGCAGCCATCCAGGAAGTATGTCGACGTTGGGACGCTTACAACGCGAATGAAAGATGTTTTGACTGACGAGAGCGGCGGTAGGTGGGTTTGTGCCCTTCCATGCGAACTGGCCGCAGCCTCATTGAAGCGCACGTGCCACTGGCGCACATGGTCGGGTACGCGACGTCGCTGCGATCCAAGACGCAGGGCGAAGCTGATTTTTCCATGCAATTTCTCAAATACAGTCCCGTCGTGTAACCAGGTCCGCCAGGAATGGTACCAGGAGGATATAGCTGTGTTGAACGCCAGCCCTGCATCACAAAAGCAGGTGGCTGCCCATCGTCAAGGCCAAACCCGATCTCGACATGCTGCGAGGGATGCACAACTGCTTTGATTCCCTCGACGATTTCACTCGCAGTGACCATTTCGTAACGAAAAACGGTGGTGGAGTTCATGTTCTGTTTTGAATTATCGCGAGCACGTCCTGACTGCCACACGATGCGCTAACGAGCAGGTCTCTTATTCGATGGAACGTCCGTCCATTGCTTGATGGGATGCCAGTTTGGGTGCGCTGTGAACGGCGTGAAGAAGTGTTGAGTTTTAGTTTAGTTGCGGTGATCCCCGTCGTCGTGGAAGCTCTGTCATTCGTGCGATGGACGGGCGACCTTGTCGTGCGGATCTGTCGCCGTTGTTGCATTGGTTCGAGTCCACACAACTGCCTGGCTACGCCATGGACGGAATTTTGGCCCGCGAAAGCATGCCTAGCACAGGTGGAATATCTTGTTGATGTTGCACGAGTAGGAAGCAAGGAAGTGCCAGCCGCGTCGAGTTGCTCACGGCTACAACACCGCGGCGACAGATCGATGCATGAATCCCCGATATCGACGAGGTAGATGCACAACAGCGCAGCACTCGAATGGTGCTTTCGCGAAATTTGGTCGAGTCATGGGGTAGCATGATCTACATCGCCTTCATGTGTCGTTCTCGAGCATGGCAAGGACAGATTTACATAATTATCAGGAGAGCTACAAGAGATTCATCGCCAGTGCTGGGCAGATGGGTGTTTGAACACCTTAGGCAGCTGTGGGTTTAAACGTGGTAGGGGCAGGCGTCGGAAGCGTCGATGGCGCAACGATCGTGTCGGGCGGGATCGTCGTCGTCGTCGAGTTGGTGCTGTTGCGAGGCGCCCATACACAACCCCACGCGCCTGTTACGATCTTCTGGCACGCAGCATCCACAGGCGCGACACACACCCCGTTGCCATAGCTTTTCAGATGGGGGTGGCAGTCCGCCACGGCCTTGTCACCACGAAGAGGGCACTTGCTGCCGGCCGGAACGAGGCCGTTGCCGCTGCAAATCGGCCCTTCGATCGAGTACGTGGCATCGCCAAGTACACTGACGTCAAATGGGCGCGACGCGACGAGGGCAACGGAGGCGACAAGGATGGCAAAAAAGGCCGATGCGTGCATGGTCAAGCGAATTCAGCAATGACAGAAACGAAGCGATGGGCTCCCGAGTCTGCCAAAATTTGGCTCCTGCTCCCATCAGAAGTGGGCCGCCAATGTCGCTTGGGTCGTAGAAATGAATTGTCGACGGTACAGTCCAGCACGCGTCAAAATTCGAGCGTCCATTTCTCGGTTGAATTTGTGAAATTTGAAAAATTCATGGACGTTGTGTTGGCTTTCAATTTGGTGGCGCGCTACGTACAGCATGGCGCCGACGTGGAGGGTGGTATCAAAACCATTCGCCTCCACATCAAGAGTCATGCAGCGCAAGCTGCCTTTCATCCGCGCAATCGTGGTGACATTAGCAGCTTTACTTGAGCTCGAATCTCCCGAACTTTCCCCGCACAGACCAACGGCCACGTTTCTGCACAGGATGAGGAGCAGAAGTTCGACCAAACAACAGGGGGGAGTTCCTGCGGAAGTGGGTCTGCGGGCCAGATGTGGCCAGTCCAATGCTGGCGAGCGAGTCAAGCCTTCCTGCAATGCTTGGCCTCATGCCGAACGGAATGAATCTTTTTCGGGCAGCGGATGCTACAACCCCCTCGAAGAACACAATGAGCCTGTGAAGTACCAACGCCCCGTGTGAGTATAGCATGATGGTTGGGGGGGGGTAGCCCAGCCTGTTGCCTTCGTCCACTCTGCTGTGCGAAAACCACATGGGCTCACACATGGCTCGGACAATTGAAGGTCATGGCGCCGCATCCACGAAAGCCCCAATTATTTATGTGGCCGAGAGTTGATGGGCGGGCAAATTTGCGCGCATGAAACACGTTGGTTGAGTTGTTCGCCTCCACGCGCCGTGGATACTCAGGCGCTGGCGTCGGCCACCCATTGCCAAAAAGCCAGCTGACATACCTTTGGAACGTACTTCTCGACAAAGGAAAACACCGTCGAACTGCGCGGACCGCGGCAAACCCGCCACGATTTCCCGCGCCTCTACCTGACACGAAACATGGCCACTGGAGTGTACGTGTTGGGCTCACTCCACGGCACCTCCCTGCGACAACATGCGCAACATTGGCCTTGCGGTTCCTCGATGAGTTGTAAGTTTTACGTGCAGCGACCGAATGGTTGGTCTTCGGGAAATTTCGTCGAAACTTTTGACCAATCAACGATTGACAAACCATGAAACGGCGCGTGATTGGCCATCGACAATTTTATTCGTCGACAATTAAATTTGACTGGCAAAAGCAGTTGTGTGGGAAAATAAGCAAACACGGCCTCGGTCAAGTTGTTCATGTCGTGCGAGCCCAAGGCGATCAAACTCATGAAATCAACGGGTGACAACGAAGCGGCTGTAGAACCGAACACCCCTCGTCGAATGAAACTGGGTAGAGTACCGTTCCAAAATGCTTGCGACGAAAAACAAGATCAAAAGATGATCGAAGTGGGTGTTTGTCGTGACGAATTTCCCGATTTCTAACAAGCCTAGAGAAAATGTGCAATTGAAAGAACGTGCACTCGCAATGATGCATATCATCAACTGGATTTATCAGCACCACAGGGACAAGTTAAAGGACTACTTTTCGCGCTAGAATCGCCCTACCGACTACACCACACTTCATCGCCTCGTTCGGCGCTCATGCAAACAGCACATCTTCTCCTAACAATTTAATACACTGCGAAATTTAATTCCGAAATCAAATACTTCGAAGTAATTATATTCCGAACATGGTTGATTGGCTATAAAATGAACCGTATTTCGAAGTTGTTAACTATCCACTTCTCGCCGATACTGTCTGGAAATGTCCAGTAGTTACTAATAGTACTACTACTCGTTTGGCAATGCGCTTCGAACTCCAACCGGCGTGTGTCATGCGTAACCGAACGTAACTGTCGAGCTGCGCACCGTCGCCGCCATGGGATGGCCGCGGATTTGCTTCGTCCTTTCGCTGTTTTGTTGTGGAGACGCCGCGACGTCGTTGTGTGGGTCGTGCAGCGGCCATGGCACGTGCAACACGGCGACGCGGATCTGGTACAATTTCACGTCGGCTCGTTGTTCAGCTCCTCATGCGTACGATCTGCAGCAATTGCCTGCGGGGGTACCAAGGTGCTCAATGCGAGCTCCGGAGCTGCCCGTACGGAATTGCTTGGGCTGATTACGCTGTCGCGGTCGACACTGCCCACCAACCGGCAGAATGCTCCAACATGGGTCTCTGCGACACCAAAACGGGCTTGTGTTCTTGCAACGATGGCTTTGAAGGTCCTGCTTGCGACGTGAGTACGTACCCATGGCCCAAGACGCTTTTTCCGCCTCATGCGTTGGCCATGATGTATTGGCCTAATGCAGTGTCATGTCCAACCTGCGTGTACGGGCGATGCGTCACGATGCGGGAGGCGGCAGTTGCAGTCGACGACTACAACTTCTTCACGCAGACGACTTATGCGTTGTGGGATGCCGATAAGGTTCGTGGGTGCCAGTGCAATCATGGCTTTCAAGGCTACGATTGCTCTCAACGGTACCGATGTTCCAATTCGACCGTGGCTGATCACACCCTCTAGGACGTGTCCTTCGGGCGATGACCCCCAGACAACGGTGCGCGTATTCGTGGCCGCCGCGCTTTCGATCCCTTTTCTTCATGCAAACGCACATGGCGCAGGGACAGCTCTCGGAAGTGCAGCACCTGAGCTGCTTGTGCGATTCGTGTACGGGCTCGTTCGCGTTGTCGTTTGAAGGGTTCTACACTGTGAACATCTCGCCAACCGCGACTGCGGCGGACTTAGCGGCTGCGCTCAACGTAAGCTCGATGAGTTGGCATGAAACTTGAGGACGTCAATGTGTATAGGCCTTGCGCCCCATCCATGGCGTAACAGTGACTCTGTCTGGTGGAGGCACCACTGTCTGTGACGCGGATGGCGCTGTTGCCTCGATTGCGTTTACAAAAAATGGGGGGGATTTGCCCCCTCTTCGCTTGTCGAGCTTCCTGACCGGTGGCATCTCGGCCATTTCAATTCAATCGGGTAGTGTTGTTTTGCGACGAAAAAATGGGCAGTGTGGACATCCGTCATGTTTTTCGTCAGGTGGCGCGGCAGGTCTGTACGATGCCGTGGCGGCTAGCGTAGATGGCACCACTGAGGTCGTGTAACCCTTTGCTACGACTTGTCGTTGTCAAAGAGTTTCCGTAGAGGCTTCCGTGTTCGGGACGAGGGCAGTGCGACACCTCGTCCGGCTTGTGCACTTGCGTCGCAGGCTTTGGGGATAGCGACGGTAAGGCTTGTTTGAGCTGTTCGCGTTTCCTTCACCGTGCGATGGATAGGAGGTGGGAATGCCGGACAAATTCCCGACTGTGGTTTCGGGTCGACGGCGACGTGCCCCAGTAAACCGATTCGTCGCCGTCGATAGCCGACTCGGCCCTTGTCATTGTAGTGGCGAATGGATTCGTCTGCAACAACCAAGGCACGTGCAGCGCGGGAACGGATTACAAGTGCATTTGCAGCGCTGGGTTCACAGGGGTCGACTGCACCAAGAGTACGTCGTGATCAAGTCATGCTCTTGGCACGCGATCCTCTCCAACACTGGGCAATGCAGAATCCTGCCCCACTGGCGAGGCCTGGTTTGATGAGGCCACGGCACCAGATATCGCCCACGCCACAGCTGTTTGCTCAAACAAGGGACTGTGCAACTCCGTGTCGGGTCTGTGCATGTGCCAAGCGGGGTATTCGGGCCCTGCCTGTGAAGTCAGTATGTTGCAACTCGCATACCACAGAGGCTCTATGTGCCGAATGCGTTGACGACTGTGGCTCATTCCATCGATAGTGGACTGTCCCGGTGGCAATCCCCCGTGCAGTGGCCACGGCACTTGCCGCACGATGGCGCAGTTGGCGCAGTTGGCCACTGGGGCGACGGGCGTGCTGCAGGGATTCACCTACGGCAATTCGCCTTCTACATGGGACTCGACCAAAATTCAGGGTTGTGCCTGCTCCGAGGTAAACTTTATCGACAAACCCACTCTTGACTCGTACAACAACGTTTGGCGACATGGGTGGCCAGGAACGCTTGTCGTCACACGCGTTTATCTTGTGTAGAACGTGTTCATGGGCCCGTATGTGGCCGAAGTCAACCGGTATCAAGCGTACGACTGCTCGCAACGTAAGCCGGAAGGCATGGTGAGGACGTCCCCCGGTCCATGTTCTGTTGTAGGCACCTGTGTGGCCGGAGCGGATCCACTTGAACGGAATCGAGTGGATGAACACCAGTCCCTAACGTGTTTTGGCGACGGGGGAACGTTTGCCCTGTCGTTTCGCCAATTCACGACCCCACCGTTGTCGGCATTGTCGTCAACGGCGGAAATGGTGGCCGCTCTTGGAGCCCTTCCGTCCATTCGATCTGTCCAAGTGTCGTTTGATTCTGGCACCGTCGCGTGCAGCGTCGCTGGCGTGGGTGAGACAAATGGCCGCGACTGTTCGGTTGACCGACGCTCGTCTAGTCGCCACCGTCCGGTTTACGTATGCCCAGGGCCCTCTTCCGCTGCTGACCGCCTCGACGTCGAGCCTGACACGGTCGAGTGGAGGAGCACCTTCCGTTGTCATCGCTCGCTTGGTGGTTGGCACGAAATCCAACGTCGAGTGCTCTCGAAGGGGTTCCTGCAGTACGTGTCGACGTGTGATGGGGCTCACATCCAACTTTTAGATCGCGCCACAGGACGATGCGCTTGCAACGACGGGTTTACTTCGTCAGACGGGGACGGCAACATCGGGATTCGAGCCGATTGCGGCTACACCACCATGGCACGCTAGGAGGCCATGTCAAAACGTTCGGAGAAGGAATCGAATCACAAAACATGACATGCTCGTGGAGTGGGGGAATGATCAATCAAACGTGCTTTGGTCTGGAAGCAATAGGCAATCGAGTTTGAAGGCGCATAGCAAGTCCTGTAAAAGCTGCACAACTCTACCTTGCTGAGTTTGCTTGGCTCGGCAAAGACCAACCTTTCGACGACTATATTCATGATGCTCGTGTTGTCGCCGAGTGCTAGGATGTGCTTGAAAGATTTGACAGCGCGCGGAAACAGGACCGACATTGCGCGGTCCTTGGGCTTGGATTGAAAATTTCGAGCCGCGTACTTGGACCAAGCAGGGTGCATTCGATCCCGCCACGTCCTTGTCGACGAGTCGAGGCGCGGGCTCCAGCGAGTGCGTTTTGAACCTTGCCGCAACCATGTCGCATCAGAGAATTGAATCAATCGACGAGGTCCGCCACAGCACCACCCTCGGGTCGAGTCGGCCGTTTCACTGCTCGAAACGCCACCGCTTGGGCAGGTAAACGCACACTCGAGCATGGTGCGGTGGTGGCGAGTGCTCGTCGGCTCCGCCTTGGTCATGGGCGTCGACGGGAATTTGTGCGATACGTGCAACGGCAACGGCGTGTGCGATGCCGCCACTCGCATTTGGTAAACTTGCCTCGATGTGCGACCTCTGCTCACAACTGCGCGTGAAGCCAATGCAAAGCAGGGTATCGCGGCAACCGGTGCGAGTTCAAGGTGTGCCCTTCCGGCGTGGCTTGGGTAGATTTTGCTTCGGCTGTCGACACGGCGCACGCCATGGCGGTGTGCTCGAACATGGGGACGTGCGACGACATGACTGGCGTGTGTACTTGCCAAGCAGGATTTGAAGGGCCTGCGTGCGAAGTCAGTACGTGCGCTTGGTGCCGTCCTCCGCGCGGCCACAACACCGCATCGCTGGATAGTGTCGTGCCCGACGTGCGTGTACGGGCGCTGTGTCACGATGCGCGAAGCGGCCGCGACGCCCGACGACTACAACTTTTTCACGTCCACAACGTACAATTTGTGGGACGCTGATAAAGTGCGCGGGTGTCAGTGCGACTACGGGTTTGAAGGTTACGATTGCTCGCTCCGGTACAGTCCCTCCCATGCCGCATTCGCCCCCAACGAGTGAGTGCCAGACCGGTGCGCCGTCACGTCGTCTGTGTAGCAAGTGCCCCGTCGGAGACGATCCGTTGACCACGGTAGCCATCGCCAGGATGTCGAGCAAATCCCTTGATACAATGTCATGCTTGCACCACAGGGCCAAGTGGCCCAAGTCCAGCATCTGAGCTGTCTGTGCTCGGGATGCTCTGGGTCATTTGTGCTGTCGTTCCAAGGGTTCCACACGGCCAACATTGCCCCAACGGCGACCGCGGCGACGCTTGCGTCCGAAATCAATGTAAACGAGATCTTGGGCCACCCTCTCCACGTACGGCCGGTTTATCCTCGATACGATAGAAATTGCTACCCCTCCATGGAGTCACAGTGTCGTTGTCGGGGGTCGGAACCACCGTCTGCGATCCCGACGGCGCCGTGTCGGCCATCACGTTCACTCATGACGGTGGCAACTGGCCAGCGTTTCGAGTGACGAGTCTTCTCACGGGCGGTACATCGGCGATCTCCGTGCAGTCTGGTACGTCGCCTTTCGTTCATGTTTTTTCACGGCGACGTTTCTCACGACCGATGGAATGGCTTTGCCACGCAGGCGGCACACCAGGCTTGTATGACAGTGTGCCAGCCACCGTCGTTGCCACCACTGAGGTATACACACTTGTACTCGAACAAGACGTGAATGAGGCGTTGAAGTGTTGGGGAGAAAAGGACAATTGTTGAATCTACTCGTAGGCGGCAGTGTGCTCGAACCGCGGCCGGTGTGATTCTGTCACGGGGCTGTGCCAGTGCTCCCCGGGATTTTCCAGCAGCGACGGTACAAATCAAAAAGCGCCACGCACTTTGACCGCACGACGGCGTTGTTGTAGGCGCTGGAGGGACCGGCACATTGCCGGACTGTGGATACGGGACGACGTCGACGTGCCCAAGTACGCAATTGAGCCACAGCCCTTGGACACCGCCTGATGCAATGACGTGGCACTAGCGGCTGCCTCGAACGGCTTGACGTGCAACAACCAAGGCACTTGCAACTCGGGCACCTTTTACAAGTGTGTGTGCAACAATGGATTCACTGGCATCGATTGTACACTGCGTACGTTCCAGTGCGTTCATCAGCGCGCCCGATGGCACGGGATGAAGGAGACAAGGCGTTGCCGATGTGTCGCTGCCAATTCCGTCACTGAAATCCGACCCCCTCCTCTTAGGCACATGCCCCAGCGGTTATGCGTGGTTTGACGGAGCTTCGGCCGCTGACACTGCCCATGCCCTCGCGATATGCTCGAACAAAGGCACATGCAACACAGCCACCGGCATATGCACGTGTGCCGTGGGTTATGCTGGGGCTGCTTGCGAGCTGAGTACGTCCACATGCACCGAGTGTGCTAAAATGTCGGACTTCATCGTTGACGGTAGTGACGTGCCCTGGAACGCCAAGCGTCTGCAATGGCCGTGGCCGGTGCAAAACGATGCAACAGCTTGCGAAATCTGCAGCGACGAACGGCGAGTTACTTGGAATCACGTATGGCACCACACCAAACGTCGCGGCGACGTGGGATTTCAATAAAATCCAGGGGTGTGACTGCGGCCAGGTGCGAGTGGACCATTGCGACGAATTGAACGTCATGGAGGATGTCTTCTAGCACTATTACATGGGGCCGTCCGTGGGTCAGCTCGACGACTTTACTGCCTACGACTGCTCTGCACGTACGTCGGGCACCATGACGCACCAGATTGTGTCCAGGGCCAATGCGTGGCCGTCGACGCTAGTGTGTGCAGCGTCGATGCCAGCCATTCATTTGATGTGTAGGCTCGTGTCCGTATGGAGCTGATCCGTACGAGACTGGAAAAGTCGATGAACAGCAAACAATCACGTGCACGGCCGACGGGGGAAGCTTTACGTTGACATTTCGCCAGTTTACGACCGCTGCCATTCCAGTGACCGCGACGCCGTTGGTGGTCAAGGCCGCGCTGGAAGCACTGCAGACTATCTATTCTGTTGTTGTCACGTTTGGCGCGTCAAGTCCGACGGTGTGCACGAGCTCGGGCGTCGTTACGACCATCCAATTCACGTCGACACAAGGCGCTCTTCCGCTTTTGACCGCATCCGTTGCCGGGCTTTCGTTAGGGGGGGGTGGCACCCCCACGGTCGTGGTCGCTCGAACCGTGGCCGGCACGAAAGCTAACGTGGAATGTTCCCGCCGGGGCACCTGCAGTACGTTGTCGTCGAGACGGCTAGATGTTGACTGTGCTGCTGTGTTCTTCAGACCGCCAAACAGGCGTGTGCGAGTGTTACGAAGGATTTTACAGCTCGGACGGCAACGGCAACCCTGGCACGCGTGGCGACTGTGGCTACCTGTCCCCATACTATGACATGCCCAAGGTTGTCGCGCTGCCATTGAGCAAGTAGGACAAGCAACCAGATGGGGAATAAGACTCCAAAAGCCACGTACATAACTTCGAAATCGCAGTTGTTATTACGTGATTGGAAACGTCCAGCGGGGCTCCAGCGGACGGGAGTCGACAGTTTTTGTGGCTCACTGCTTCACAAGGCAAGAATCCATTCGAGCACGATGGCCGTGTTGGCGACATGCTCGGGCTTGTGCAAAAGTAGTGTCGCTGGCCGTGAAGGTCGTGGTATACCTTGGGCGATCTCGACACGTGGTCAAAGAATAGGTTGGCCATCCGCGGACTTGTCACTTTATCGTCGGTGCCATGCACAAGTAGAAGCGGCATGGTGATGGCGGCGTGGCGGGCGGCATCCAAACTATTCATTCCTTGAACAATAGCCCAGCCCATTCGCATGCGGAACTGCCTTGGTGGTTCACCGGGTCATGCTTGAAGTCGTCAAGTAACACAATGTCGCGGCTCATTTCTAGTCCCACGTTACAACTACACACTCAATCGCGGAAAGTACCGTGGGGCAGCAACGCAGGCACAAGTTGCAGCATGGGATCGACACGTACGAGAAGATTGGCCAGTCGTCTTTGCACGGTCAACAACCAGCTCGTTTCGACTTCGATCGGTGAAGCCAACAGAGCGAGTCCCTGCCATGCGAAATTAGCTGGTTTCAAACTGGCCACGTGCGCGGAAAGAACCCCCCCCCCAGAGACTCTCACGCATGACGCAGATGCACAGTTGCCTCTCTTACTACATGCTTGCGGACGGTAGATTGAGCGTGTTTGGTAGGCAAAGATTTGTTGACATGGTCGTGGGCCTGTACACTAATCACGTGACCAGCAAGATTCCACTGCCTGTCGTCGGATTGTTAACCGGATGGATGTATCCGGACTTGTTTCGTGCGTTCGACAAAATCCAAGAAATTTGCAAAAGTATCGTTCAAACGCCAAGCATTTTGCAAAAACTTGCAAACTTTTGCATGAACTCCTCGAATTTTCGCATGCTTCCGTCACGTATCCTACGGATATGTTATCCGGCATCCTACTGTACGACTGGGTGTTCGATCGCTTTGCTGAGGTGGGCGCAAGAGTTGATTCGACGTTGGAGCCACGAATGCCATCCAAAAACGGTGTGGAAGGCCTGCCGCTGTTGGCGCCAGCTTCCTCCTCCGTGGCCCAGACCCACCAAGGCTCTATCTTTTCGTCGTATGTCGGGATATTGTGCGCTATGCTCGGCGCTGGGATCATGACTCTGCCGAGCACGGTGGCCGCGACAACGCCTTTGTGTGGCGTGTGGTTGCTAGTCGTGACAGGGCTGTTAGCTTTCGCGTCGCTTCGCTGTCTCTGTATCGTTGCGGACGTCACGGGCGAGTACTCGTACGAACACTTTGGCAAACGATTCTTCCACCCTGTCCTGCAATGGATCCTGCGCCTCTTGACGCTTGTTCCGTGCTTTGGAGCGTGCGTGATTTACATGATTGTGGCCATGGACATGGTGCTGTCGTTCGTGCCGTGGATTTCTCGCCCGGTCTTGAGCGCCCTCTTCGCTGTCCTCACGTTCCCCCTCTGCCTGCTCGACACGTTTCACGCGTTGCAATATAGCAACACGATTGTACGTTCCATGCACACTCCGTTGTGGCTCATCCTCGACTAGGTCATTGCGTGCATCTTTTACATCACGGGGGTGTTGGTGCATCACGCGTGGGGGCTCGCATGGCCAGACCTGTCGACTCTTCCAGGCGCCGTCACGTGGGGCGCGCTGGCGTACGCGATTCCAATTCAAACATTTAGTTTCTGCTGCCATTTCAACTACATGCGCGTTTACGGCGAGCTCGAGCACAAGCCGTCCATGACAATCGTGACGTGGCTCGTGATGGGGTCTGCAGCGTGCATCTACGCGACGTATTCCCTCGCTGGATACCTGGTCTTTGCAGGCCTGCCGCCGCACGACATCCTGACTGGATTCGCCATCTCCGACGCTTCCATCAGTGGAGTGCGGCTTGCGCTGGCCGTGTGCATGCTGTGCAAAACGCCGCTGGCCTATCAACCCGTTCGCGATTTGGCTGAAGTCGTGTGCCTGCCCAAGCTCGCTCCCCTGTCCAAGTGGGGGTTTCGCCTCCCGTTTACTTTGGTACGTTCTTTCGCTCACTCCATGCCACTGACAGCGTGCAGGTGTTTTTCCTAGCAGTGTACGGTGTTGCTATCACGGTCAACGACCTGAGCGTTGTCATGGACTGGATCGGGGCGACGGATGGCATCTTAGTCTCGTTCGTCGTCCCGGGCATGTTTCTATACGCTGCCACAACAACAAAAGGGTGCCAAGAACGCCTGCCCCTGTATGCCGCCCCTTTGGCGCTCTCCATGACGACCGTTGGCGTCGTACTCACCGTATTCTCCATCTATCGGCTTGTCATCGTGTAAAAACAAAACTAGAGTCGATCACGGTGGCTGCGAAGCCCTCGATATGGTGACGACGGATGCTATGAGTCAGGTGTTTGTCCAATTTGACAGCGTGCACGTCGCCAGCACGCGGCAGGATGGTGGCCCGAATAATATCCGTGAAAAGTGCATCGCCAACGATGCGATTCCTCCCAACCATGGCCCAGCAGTGACATGGTCGACGGTTGATATGTGACGTCGTGTGGTGTTGATCTCTAGCATCAGGGGAATTGCTTAGCCCCGATATTCACCACGTCCCCCTGCGGCATCTAGACGTCCACGGCAGGCCCATCGTCCCAAGTCGAGTGCGTCGTTAGGCTACGCGTCGTGGGTCCTACCGTGGTGGGTCTAGCTACAGACGTCCAAGCATGTCAAGTATACTACTCCAGACTCACTTTGCCATCGACAACGTTTGTTTTCATCGCCACCAACGAGTGCATCTCACTCGTGCTTGAACAAGCTCCTGTGGGCTCTTGACTGGCTGATAGGGGTGCTGCAACGGCAAGCACAAATTGGGTGCCACACCTACTGGGGTTGGGTGGGTGGATGTCGAGTATACTCCTTCGTTCAGGCATCGTCGACGTGTGAGGGCTCCACCTCGGGCGCCAGCCCTTGAGCCGTCGACCTGCGCCTCGAACCAACTAGCCAGCTTCCCGGCCTCTCGATCCCTGGATCACGGGCTCGACATGCGCCGCCGAATCTGAAAAAAAAGCCGTGGCGCGGATAGGTACTACTACTAGTAATACTACTAGTTAGTACAGGAACCACGTCCAGTCGTGCGAACGTGCATATGAGGCACGTCAAACAAGGGAGGCGACACTTCACGCTTCGTTCAGGTGCTTCCCCATCGCGATGATTGAGATATTTCAAGAGGGCGTCACGAGCACCGGACAAGTCGTTCGTGGGGGACCATGATAAGATTTTGCCGCAGCATCCATGCTGGCTTTTAGTGCCTCTTCGTCGCCGCCCCCCACAGGGCGTGGGACTCCCTCGCTGGATGTGCGTGTTCCGGACGTCTTCTTCACACTGTTTTCAGCATGCGACAATGAATACACTAAATTCGGGTTGTTTGCGGAAACCACGGTGCGGCTCATCTGTGGAATGGTTGGGCAAAACGCGGCCACGTGTTGGAACTTGTTGTTCGGCCAGTTTACAACGCCAGCAGCGTTGCGATGGACTGCCCAGACGACCGCACGTCGCAGCGGCAGCCGCGACGCGCATGCTACTGTAAGACATGGCGTTGTTTTGAACGCGTTCCGAACAGGTGGGCGCCATGGCAAAAAGCTGGACCAAAAGCCAGTGCGCAACGTCGTCGGCCGGTTCCGTCGGTCCGCCCTTGCGCCAGAAGAGCGGAGACGAGCCGCGGCATGCGAGCCTCCAGTACAAGATCAGTCGCACTCATCATGCACGTCGGCGATGAACGGCCAGGTTGCTCCCTTGTCTTCTTTCTACTCGTGTGTGCTCCGATGATGGCCGTCAAGATGTCCTGGAGCGCGCAATGGGCGGCGCTTGGCCCGATGCTGAACGACATCTTGGAAGAATCGTGGAGGACACAGCTCGTGCAGCTCATCGGGCCGATCACAGGTATCATTGTTGCTCCGGCAGTCGGTGTGCACAGCGACCGCAACACGAGCAAATACGGGCAACGCCGTCCATACATTTTTCTCTCGGCGCTGTCGACAATTCTCTGTTGGTGCGTCATGGCATACGTCAAGGTGTGGTTTGAAGCCCAACCAACGATGTTTGGCCTCCTCACGATCCTGTGCTACGTGTGGATGGACGTGACCGTGAACGTTCTCCAGACAGTGACGTTTCTCCTCATCTCGGACGTTGCCGGTCCGCGTCAAGTCACAGGCTCGGCAATCGCGCACATGTACGGCATCCTCGGTCAAATGGTCGTGTCCATGTACATATCCCTCGCGAAGAACCCTCGCAACGACCCGCAACCATTTTTTGCCTTGCTCATCTCCGTCATGTTCCTCACTGTCATGCCGGTGTGCTACTTTGTGCGGGAGAACCCATGGGAAGCGATGCGGCGAATCGCTCCCGGCTCGACCCTGGAAAACGGCCCGTCCACCGCCTACCCAATGCAGGCTGTCAGCATCTGGACCGCGTGGTACGTCGGCATCCGCACCCTGCCCGGGCCGCTTTTCGTGTACTGGCTGGCGGGGCTGTGTTTGCAATATGGGTACCAAAGCTACAACGGTGTCAAAAGTACGTTTAGCATCGTAAGATCGTCGTGGTGTTCCGCTCAAGTGAGCGAGAATCGCTCGGCGGCCTTCGCTGACGCGGTTTTGGCATGGCTCATCGATTCCATCCTCACCATGTTCATGTGTAGCGATCTTTTTTGGCGAGAACGTGTACAACGGCACGAAGCGGTCCCCGTTGTGCATGACGGTGGAGTGCACTGCAGCCGACGACCTGTACACGGAAGGTGTCAACATGGCGACGGGCGCTGCCGACCAATTCTACAATGCGCTCGCTATGTTTACGCTGGTGTTTTTACCGCTGTTGGTGCAAAAGTTTGGTGTGCGCAACGTGATCCAGTACACGTTTTTGCCGCACTGCTTGCTTTTGGCCATGGCGCTGTACCATCCCGTGGCATTCTCGGTCATCGTCGTGGGGCTCACGGCGCTCGGTCAAATCACGGTGTTCGTGCTCCAAGTGCCGCTGATCCTGCACGTGGCCGGCTTTCGCGACGAAAAGGTGCTCGGTCTCTACCTCGGCGCGTTCAACACAGCGACGTGTCTCGGCCAGATGCTCAACTTTGCCACAGCCACGTTGGTCAATTGGATGTACTCGAGCGTTCGCGATGGCAATGTCCTCGCCATCTTGATCGGTGGTGTCTTCAGCGTGTGTGCTGTGCTCATCATCGTGTTCAAGTTCCACGTGAAGCTGCACAGTTGGTAGCTCCTGTTAGCCGGACCGATCGCCGCGGCGAACTATTTATTGATGTTCACGAAACACTAGAGTGAATATGGCGTTGTTCCTGAGCAGCGTCCGAGCGCATCCGAGTTTGGTGTCGCGCAGGTGGGACGCCCGCCGACTTGCAACGGACACCCCCATGCCGGTCTCCGTCCGCTTTAGCGCATGTCCCAATCAACCTGGCGCCATGGAAACATGGGTCGCTCCGTTGGTCGCATTGCATCGAGGCCAGGCATGCCACACATGACGGCTACGAGGTCGGGGACACATGACGGAGCCACCGACATCGATCGGTCGTCTGCACGGGCGTCTTGGATCGTGAATGGCAAGCATTACCTGCATGGGACGACGACCCGCGTGACCTTCTTGTTGCAGCCCAACGCTACTTTACATGTCTGAATTTCATGCACGCACAAATCCGTCTCATTCACACGATGGCGGCGGGGGTTTCGCCGGTGCTGCCCAGCGTTCGTTCCGAGTGTGCTGGCTGTTGTTTCGCGTGCCCCGTTTGTCCTCGCTCCATGGACGATGAGCGCTCGTCCGCTCTCTCTCTTGCCGGGAGCTAAGTCCATCGTACGATCTTTAGCATGACACGATCTTGTCGCCTAGAAACCGAGACATTGAATCCGGCAAGATATGTCGGAGCCCCACGAGCTGCAAACCCCCGCGCACCGCCAGCCCACGCAATTGCAACGAATGCTTTCCATGTAGTTTGGGGATGCATCGAAGGGCGCCCCCGCTGCGTTCGGAGCCTCCGCCGTGTACCTATCCTCTTCACGCTGAGAGAAATGAATGTTGGGTGCATTTGAGTCGACTTCTGGTCGGACGTAGTGCTTGAAACTTACAGAAACCCCCTCCTTGGTGTCGGCGGCATGTTCAAGGCCCGCCTGGTGCAGCGACAGCAGCCACGGCTGCACGGCAATCCCGATGTGCACATGACAAGTGGTGCTGGCTCGGGCCGATGCTATCACGCCGACAACCCGGACGACGGTGGGGACAGGAACGCTGGGGTCCACACCACGTTGTGCTATCAATATGTGGCCAAGCCACCGTGGAAGAGACAGCGCGCTGTCGTCGGTGGTCGAAGAGTGCCGTACTTTAAGTCGCAGCTCCAACACGTCCGCCAACGACGACGCACGTACCTCGATCACAACGGACTCAGCTCCATCGACGAAGAACCCGCCAACGCGTGCGAAGCGTGCCATTCGAATACCTTCAGCCGTCTCGACCACACCAAGAACATTACGCTGACCACGAACCGATGCAACGTCAAGTTGCATCGTCGATGGGGTGCCAAACCCGTCGACATTCGTCTATGCTAAGTGCCAGCCAAGGTTTCATCGCGCTCGTGTTTCATATCTTGTCCATCGTGTTCAACGAGAGCCTGTGGTGGGTCAAACGAGGGAGCGTTTTCAGCGCAGGGCTGTGCAGATCAGTACGTCAGCGCGACGCTGCCTGCGAATGTAGGCGCGATGGGAGAGTCTCCTCTCGCTGTGGAAGCGATGCAACCGCTGGAGCATGACGCTTTCAACAGACCGTTCACTCGAGAAAGGTCGCGGCATCGCACGCACAGCCTCAGCACATACGTCGCGGGAATGCCGCGCTGCATTCCGAACCGCCGGGCTTGCAAGCGTCGCTTCATTCCTGTCAAATCTTCATCGTTGACGAAAAAAATATCAAAATTTCTGAATTTATTGTTGATAAAATTGCGGATTTGTTCCAACTCTCCCCAAGCAGACGAAATGATGCAGCGCGCGCGGACGGAAGCTGAGGCAGCGAACCTCTACAAGCGCGTCATCGACGAGTTTGGATCCAAGGTGCCGCGGGAGCTGGAAGACCGTACGCTCAAGCACAAACCTCCCGAATACTTTGCTGATATCGCCCATGTAAGTCCAACGTCGCTCGCAAAGCAAACGCGTCGTCGACGATCTCACGAGTCGAATAATTGACTTTCCAGCGCCTTCGAACACGACTAGCGTTGTACACTAGCACGGACACACAATCTCCATTGCCGCTTGCACCCTCAGACGACGCTGCCGAAGCGGCCAGACCAAGAGAAGCCGATGCAAACACGGCGGCGAACGCAACTACTAGTACCGTGCAACGGACCGCAATGCAGTCGTCCGGCACTCGCCCGACCCTGCTGGTCATTCCGAACCGCGATCACCCTCCATTTCACGTCAACTTGGACCTTATCGGCCGACCAGCCCCATACATGGTGCCCCGTCGTCCCGATCTCAGACACCTTTACCTTCTCTACACACAGGCAAATCCACACCAGCCCGCGACATTGCCAGAAACACCGGCTTCGAAGCGGCGCGGACGTGGACGTCCTATCGTACGGCGTGCTCGGCTTGGTCCCGTCGTTCCTCATGACATCGTTAGGGTGCACGCCAGCCGAAGCCCCCCGGGCCACCACCCAACCAACCCCCTGATCTTGACGTCTCGATGGAAACCCATGCCATAGCACGACCGAAACGTCCCCGAGGTGGCATCTTTGGCGTGTATGCCTCGACAAAGTTCAACTCGCGACAGTCGAAACGTCAATTTGCACTTGTGGCGAGTGTCGTGCGGCTGTACGAGCCGTGGTCTCCATCGTCCGCGCAATCTCGACCATCCATTGTCACGGTGGCGTTGGAGGATGGGACGTGGGCGTTAGCATCATTCGTGCCGCCCTCCCTCGACGACGAGAATGCAAATGACGACGACGAGTTGCTATCCGAGCGGACGGATGTTCCAGACAGACAACTGGAGCATCGCATTGAAGATCAAGATGCTAGCCAAGGCGGCGACTCCAATTCCGGCGTGCTTGTTCAACTGGTCGAGTCGAGGAGGCAATGCCGCGTCCATCGGCAGCGCATCTTTGTTGGAGTGGATCATTTCGTGAACACAGCTGGAACGATTTCCCTTCAAATCCACGAGCAGTCGGCGGCCAGCTCAGTCCAGTACCTTATCGTGTAAGCATGTCATCGTTGAATGATTCGGACGCTTCTTCGATGTGGTGGGTATTCCAGTGGACGATGTAAACTTGGTGGGCCAACTGGCATGTACTTGATTTGAAGGCTCACATGTGTCACGAAACCTTTGGTCTGAACACGATCGGAGCTGCTCCCATGGCGGTAGCACGCTGCAAAATGTCCGTCGAGCTAATGCCACGCTCTCCGATACGAGGGCCTTGTCCCATTGTTGGGCGCGACCCAAAGCATGGGCAACAGGCTCGACCAACTCGGATGCTCGCAATGTTCGATCCGAGTGGACCCAGAATCGCATTTCGAAGGCCAGGGGATGGGGCAGCACCACACTGCAGTCCTCTAGCGAGTCGAGAAGTCGTCACCAACGTTGCATCGTATTGTACAACTAGCTCGGACAGGATCCTAAGCATCCTCCCCAGTGGCAGATGTGCGAGAAGGCGACATGAAGCAATATCTTTCAAAGAGTTTCAAGACTCAAAACGATGACGTCATAAACAGCGCCATGAATGGGGCGACCGTACGCAGGACATGTCATGGAAATCGGAGGCATCCTCGATTGCCCCAGCC